GAATGAGAAAAGGTTTGTGTGTTTTTTTTAAATAAATCCACATTGAGTGGAAAACACTGGAGGAAAAGCCAAAAAGAGATCTTCCGATTGATTTTCATGTTGTACAATTGTATCTGTGTTTGACCACTAGCCGTGTAGCTCAACTATACCTTGTGCCTTCAAAACATCAGTAAGAATTACTTCTTTATGATCTGGAGCCCATTCACATGACAGAATTATAGTGCTATGATTCCACTTTAATCACCACGGTTCCATCCTATGGAATCCTGGGAATGGCGGTTTAGGGAAGAATATTTATAATCTGAGAGCCAATGTAGTGGTTTGAGCGTTGGACTATCATTGTAGAAATCAGGGTTTGATTCTCTGATCAGTTGTGGAAACTCACTGGGTGACCTTGGGCAAGTCACACACTCTCAGCCCAGGAAATCCTATGATAGGGGTCACCTTAAGAGTTACCATAAGTCAAAAATGACTTGAAGGCACGCAATATTTAGAATTCTCTAATGCCGTGGTACCCAACCTTTGGTCCTCCAGATGTTTTGTACTTCTAGTCCCAGATGGCAAAAATCTGCAATTCTTCAGAGCTGGGGTCCAAAACATCTGGAGCGCTGAGGTTTGGAGACCACCGCTCTAATGCCTCGTCAAACTACAAATCCCAGGATTCCATGGGATGGAAGCATGACAATTAAAGTGGAATCATAGTGGTATAATTGTGCAGTGTGAATGAGGCCCTGGTCTCCCAGCAGATAAGCGATGAGTGGTTTTGGCCTCACCAAGCTGCCCAGCAGAGACCTGTCACAGAAGAAGAACTTTTAAAAAGAGAGAAAATATTTCCATTCTAGCAGTATGGACTTCATGGATCCCTTGTTGGCAAGGGATGAATTCAAAAGCATCCTAAATTTGCAGGCGTTAACCGTTCAACATAAAACGCAGAAAGTGAAACAGAGGGATGATGGGGCACAGCAGTAAACCTGGCGTTGGAATAAAATACTCCCAAAAAGATCTCTGTTGGATCAGAGACTGAATGGATGGTTGTAGCACCTCAGAGATGAAGCTGCAGCACTCTCAAAATACTGAGCTTGTTTTAAGGCAGGGTCGGCCAGTCTTGGTCTCGCCGATCTTCCTCCTGAAATCAAGAACGAAGGACCTCAGCAGTGCATTCAAACTAGGCAGCAAATATGCCCTGCGTGAAACAGTGGCTTCCTAGGACAGGAGGTGCAAAGCCGTTCTTCTGACAGCCGTAACAGGTATGTAAGAGAAATGGGACAAAGCTCACATTCGCGGCTGTGCTCTTTGACAAGGCATCGGACAGCGTAGTTGGACAGCATTATCTAAACTACAGAAATACAGCAGTTTCAGAACACTTTGATTAGCACAGGTCCCATCCGATGGGATCCTGGGAGTTGTAGTGTGGTGAGGTACTTGCGATTATTTGCTAAAAAGCTATAGCTCAAGGCAGGGCACTGGAGCAGTTGTTTGCAAACTTTGGTCTTGATGAGTGTGCCTCACCAAACTACAGACCCTAGGATTCCAGAGGATGCTCCCACAGCAGTTAAAGCAAAACCATTGCGCTATAACTGCACAGTGCAAAAGGGCCCCGACAGCTCGCCCAACTACAAATCCCAGAGCTATGCCGGTTAAAGGTGCTCCCAACCTGCTATAGCTGTGATGTGCAGATGCACCCCAGTTGTGAGTGGTGCCTTGAATGTCAACCTTATGGAAAGATGACAGTAAAGAGAACTGGCAGTCCTGGTTGTGTGGATTGTATAAGGATTTCCCTTACAAATGCCAGAACGGGCTCATTGCTGTTCTAAAGATATTGCAGGTTGAGTCTTCCTTATCTGAAATGTTTGGCACCAGACATCTTTTAGATTTTTGAAGGTTTGGGTTTTGTTTGATTTGGGAATATTTGCATATACATAATGAGAAGTCTAAACATAAAAATGGAACCCAAGTCTAATCCTAAAATGCATGTGTTTCATCTACACCTTGTGCACACAGCCTGAAGGTAATGTTATACACAATACAGATGACCCTCTGTATGCACAGGGGTTCCCCCCGCAGATACTAAATAATGTGGGACCTCAAGTCCCATTATTGTCAATGGAGGTGCAATATGCACACAAACATGCTGCCGCAGCTATGTGCATGTGCCACAATTGACAATAATGGATCAGGGCCATCTACGGATGCGCCAATCTGCAAATGACTATCCCACTGATACGGAGAGCCGACTGTATTTTAAATAATGTTGTGTATGAAACAAAGTTTGTGTACATTGAACTGGTCCAAAACACACTGCAGAAATAGTCCAGTTTGAGACCACTTTAACTACCCTGGCTCAGTGCTAAGAAATCCTGGGAATTGTAGTTTATTGGGGCGCAAGACCTCTCTGACAGAGAAGGCTAAATACGGTACCTCACACAACTACAGTTCCCAAAATTCCCAAGCATTGAACCAGGGCAGTTAAAGCAGTCTCAAACTGGATTATTTCTGCAGTGTGCTTTGGACCACTATCTCAGCCACTTATGTGAACAGTTTTGGATTTTGGAATATTTCAGGGTTGGGATTCTGGATACGGGAGACTCAGCCTGGACAGATAAGCACCAAGCAATCTAGATTCCTGTTGAAAGACATATTCCACAGCATCCCAAAATGTGATCTTCGTATCATCGCTTCAACCTTGCTCCCCAGTGATGTATCTCAAGCTGGGCAGGAGAGGAAGACAGTTTTGACACTGAGAAAGAAGCCATAAGCCGCTGATCCGGCATGAGGTTGGGGTTGAAAATATCAAGCATGAATATTCAAGCATGAATATTTTTCCCCCCTTCATATATAAATACTACTCAGTTTGAGCGGAGGAAGCTAAAAAAATAAGCCAAGTCCATATATGTGTGTTTTGTAGGGGGTGAGGGAAGAGAAACAGGGTTTGCACACTGAAAAAGTCATAAAGCAAATCCAATGCAGGCTTTTTTGTTTTTCCGACAGCAAGTCGCTCCGCAGTCCACATGCTCTCCTTGGCTCATCTCTGCAACCACCGAAGTGGTGACCAATTTTGCAACGGTTAAAAATGCTCAAGGTTCATTGAATGCATGCAGCGCCCTGCAACTATCATTTCTTTCTTTCCTTCCTCCATCCATTGTCCTCACCCTTGTTGTTATTGCGTCTGCCACATGCCTGAAAATGTCCTCCTCTTGCGAAGAAGGCCTCTGGGTCAGAGAAGGAAATCCCACCAGAAATTGGAAAGCAAAAACCAGCATCTCCTTTCCGTCCCTCGCCCTTCCAAACCAAGAAGACTGTTTCATTTCCCCTGTCCGACTACGGCTGCCGTGATGCTCTTGTTTGGAAGGACAAAAGACAGCATCCGAAATGTCCGTAACTCTCATTTTCTCGCTCTAAAGTAGAGTGTTTATTGCATTTAGCACCCAGAAGTCACTTCCCCTCCATGTGCAAAGGCCATGGTTTATTCTCCATTGTGGGGTTGTGGTTGTTTTGCATTTCCACATGGCAAAGTGTGGTTAAGGAACTGACCAGATGTCCACAGACCATCTCCGTTGTCCAGCTTTACCAACTCCATTGAGTTTCAAAGAGGTTAAAAAATAATCCGGGGCTGAGTTTCAAACAGTGTCGTCCCCGTCCCCCCCCCCCCAAAAAAAACCCAACAACTTATTTCCTTTAAGGAGAAGAACAAAACGGAGGAACATTGTCGCAATGGCATCGATGAAGAGGGTCTCGACCCCGCTGCTACATCCCCAACTATTGCTGCAAACTAATAAAGCCAAGAAAAGGACCCAGTTTTACATCTGATGGTTTCTTTAGAAGAGAAGGCCAGTGTAAACAACAAATCCCAGGTCAGCCAAACTATTGCAAGAGCCAGATGGAAGAATTGTTGAGGAGTCGCACATTTGTCGTTACAAAAATAGGAATTCTTGGGTGTGCACTGTGGCCGATTCGGGGGAACCCCAAGACAGCACAGAAGCAAAGGCTATGTCAGAGAGTCAAGGATCTCTTGTATCGAAGAAGTCTGGCCTCTGTAGCCCCTCGGCTGCATTAAGACTGCAAACGTTCCAGATACTGAGGCAGGGGGTTCTCCTTGACGTATTTCTGAATGTACCAACACGTCAGGTGGGCTTTCAAGTCTTCTTCAACCACAAAATCCAAGGCTGCCTGAAAAACACAAGAGAGAAAAGCCCATCATTAGTAACGTGTAGAGACTGCTTCAATGCAACCAAGACCAGGGAGATCATGGAATCATAGGATCATAGAATCCTAGAGTTGGAAGAGACCCCCAAGGGCCATCCAGTCCAACCCCTTCTTCCATGCAGGAACTCTCAATCAAAGCATCCCTGATAGATGACCATCCAGCCTCTGTTTAAAGACCTCCAAAGAAGGAGACTTCACTACCCTCTAAGGCAATTTATTCCACTCTTGAACAGCTCTTACTGTCAGGACGTTCCTCCTAATGTTGAGGTGGAATCTCTTTTCCTAGAGCTTGCATCCATTCTTCCAGGTCCTGTTCTCTGGAACAGCAGAAAACAAGCTTGCTCCATCCTCAATATGACATCCCTTCAAATATTTAAACAGAGATGGGCTTTCACACTACAGAATTATAGCACTTTGTTGTCGTTGTCGTGTGCCTTCAAGTCATTTC